TAAAATTTTATTTTAAAAATAAAATTTTAAAAAAAAATTTCAGTACAAATTTGTACAAGAAACGGTTTAAGAGATAATAATTTTCTATGACAGAAGTCGTCGATCAAATATTCCGTAAACCAGACTTTTGACGAAATTTATCATAGAATTGAATCATCTCAGGCGTAATACGACGTGTAAAAGATGACAAAGCTCTCATAAAGTGTTCCCAACGCACCTATCATGTGTAAATTAATTCACCAAAAAAATTTAAACACAATAAGAATTTGATGCTTATAAATGTTAAACTAACCTCTTTTGCTTCAAGATCATCGTCCATTGCGCATAGGGCCGCCTCCTGACAAATTGATACAATTTCAGCACCCGAAAATCCATCAGTCTATGTTTAATAAATAATAACTTCATGTTAGTACAACCATAAATTGAATTTCAGAAGTTCCAAGAGCGATCGCGTGATCCATCTTCTGCTAATTAATGTCGCAGGTCATAATGAAATCGGATTAAAATGAAATTTGGTGTTTCTATTTAACCTCCTAAAACCATTTATACTTGTTTACTATAAATTCTACTCCTAAAACTGACCCCTAATGCTAAAAAAAAAATGTGCACCCCAAAATTTTGTATTTTTCGGTGGCTTGTCTATTTTACTTATACAAAATTTCATTTTAATCCGCCGCAATTAATAGATTCCGCAGATTCCATTCGAGATTCGGATTCGATCCGGATCCATGACTTGTAAGATTTGCCGAATCCGGATCCACGTGGAGATTCGATCCGTCATATGTTCAGACTCGGATCATACAGTCAACTATCGACATGACTGATACATTTACATAAAGTACGTATCGAAATTTTATTACCTTGTTACCCCAAAATAGCGCCCCAGGGCGTTATTTCGAGATGCACAATTTAAAGAGAACTGAGAATTAACTCGAAGATTTTCAAAAAGTAAATATTATTGTTAGATTAATTCTTAACTCTTTAAATTATGTATCTCGAAACAACGTCCCTGGGCATTATTTCGAGGTGATACGATAGAAAGTTTAAAACGGATTCATAATGGACATTCTTGCCAGCCCACTTACTAATTTTATTATTAAATCACTAAACCATATAGCGAATTTAATACAATGAATCGGCTGGCGACCAATCAACGCGTAGTTCTACGACTTGGGTTTTACCAATGGCCATTAAAAATCTAGCTTGGAATAGGTCTATAATGGAACTTAATATCTGTCAAGCCGGATAAATATAGTATAAGGACACCTACTCTATATCAATTAATGTTTATTAATGATGCCCTTTGTACTATTCCGTTATGTGGGTATAACGAATATCGATAGTTGACTGTATTTATGAACTCATTGATCTAAAGAGAATTTTATCAATACCAGCCCACTCTCATAGATTCTGATCCGAAATCTCAATTCTAGCTGTGCGACTGATCGACTTTAAACATACTTTAGTTGCTAATTCTTCAATATCTACATCCACGGCGCATGCCATTTTTCTCAGTTGAATTCGAAAGATTTCTCTTCTAGACAATAAGTCCGGTGGGCTTACATACAATATGTGATCGATACGTCCAGGTCTTAAGAGAGCACTGTCCTACATAATTAGGTTTGTTAATCAACTAATTAAACCTGAAGTTTTTTTTTTTTAAGAAAAAAAAAAAGAACATACAATAATATCTGGACGGTTTGTTGCGGCTACCACTGTCACATTTATTAATGGCTCAATGCCATCTAGTTCATTTAGCAATTGCGATAAAACGCGATCTGCAACTGAGATTCCACCGTTACCATTAATACCGCGCTTGACTGTAAGAGCGTCTATTTCATCCTATGAAATTTATATGATATTAATAAATTTGAAATAATAATAAAGACGAGATCTTTAATGATACAATCTAACGAAAGCTTACAAAAAAAATTATTGAAGGCGAAGCAGCACGAGCTTTACGAAATACTTCGCGAACAGCTTTCTCTGATTCGCCCACCCATTTGCTAAATAGCTAATGATATAATTGGAGCTAAATTGAGCGCCTAAATGATCATTTGAATACCATAGTCTCGTGATCACCGAGCCAACCAAGTAACGGGTATTAATCCGATTACGTATGTTAAATACAAGAGTGACCTTCTTAAGTGCGCACACTTCGTAAATACACTCTACCGGATGTTTGATAAGTCCCTTGACAGGAACTTTTTGTTAATCACTTAAAAGTTTCTATATAGGACCTTTTTACTAATAAAAACGTAATAGTTTTGATAATTAAAGTGATCAATAAAAGGTACTGTCCAGGGACTTATCGAATACCCGGTATATAGAATCTCTCTAAGTGCACAGTATAGTCCGGTCCCAGCTTATAGTAGCACTACATAATTTGCACTCTATAAATGCATGCACTCTCTAAGCGAAAATTTTTTAATTTTTTTCTATGGTCCCAAAAAAGGGGGATGCATTTAGAGAGGTCTTTCTGTATATTATAATTTTGCTGGTCATCGGTTTTGTTCGACACTATAATTCGGCCTGATTTAGGTCGATTAACTCGGAGACCGGCAAAATGTTTGCCGCACGACTACGATACTCACGATTATTGATTCACAGCATTTTATATTATACCTCAGGGCCTTTTATGGC